GGGGGTGGGGGCTGTCTGGGCTGCTGCTGTGGGTAAGGTGGAGGAGGAAGCTGCTGCTGCTGCTGGGCCTGCTGTCTCGGGGGTTCGGGGCAAGCACTGAAGAAGTGGCCGGGCTTCATGCAGTTGAAGCAAACTCGCTGAGTGAAACGACATTCTCCCGGATGATATCGACCACACTTAGGGCACTTCGGATTCTGATCATAAGATGCAGGGCGCCCGCCACGACGGTCATTCCCGGCACGCTTTCCCTTCCGGTTATCACGGCGGGAATCAAACTTTCTCTTACCCGAACTAGACTCGGGCGGTGCAGAAGCAATAGGCTGGACTAGCTGAGCAGAAGGGACAGAAGTATCGAGAGTCTGATAACTCTCCAGCTGGGTGGCTCGGATGACAGTCTCACCAAAGGAAAGATTTCCCTGGCTAGCAACATGCATACGAAGAGTTTGACTCAGCCCATCTCGGAACTTGTGAGCCTTCTTCAGGTCAGTGTCCACCATATGTGGAGCAAAGGCGCTCATGCGGGTGAACTCCCGCTCGTACTCCTCAACGGTACCAGTCCCCTGGGTAAGATCCCAGAAAGCGCGCTCCATCCTCATGTGATAACCCTGAGGATAATACTTCTCCATGATCACCTCCTTCATGCGATCCCAAGTCAAGACATTAAACTCCGCCTGCCTCAACCTCCAATAGCCGGACCACCACAAGGCGGCACTTCCCTTAAGCATATAGCGGCCACAAATAACCTTCTGCTCGTCAGAGCACTGCAGGAGGTCAAAGTTCTGCTCTAACTGACGGATCCACTCCGCCACAGCCTTGGGCACTTCAGTCCCATGAAATTCTGGCGGAGTTAGACTCTGGAATTGGAGCACGATTTTGAGATGAGCCCCTGCTGGATTGGGAGCCTGCTGGTGAGGGGGAGATGGGGATGGAGACGGAGGTGGAGATGGAGTAGGCTGACGGTTGCGAGCATTACGACGAGCCATAATTCTACATTGAAAATTGGTCGTACAGTTAGCACAATAATAAAAGAAGTCTAGAGTTCAAAACTAGAGTTCTCATTTAAAGGTGGATTAGTCCTAACCCCGATTTCA